ATTAGCACCTCTAGTAATATATTTACTGAGAAAAATGTTGACGTGTTCAATACTTATTTTTACTCGCTGTATATGAAGCATCTTGTTTTTAAAATAACTGAGATTAAGACATTAATGACAAATGATCACAAATGAGTTTACATTACATTTTTATTTTGTTTATGGTCACAGTTAAGAATGTTTTTCTTTGTTATTGTTGACAAGAAGCAAAACCGCAATATAACTAGCATTTWTATTCAGGCAGCAACAGAAGAAAGTGATTCTGTGTGGATTTTAAATAAACATTTTTAAATATTATAGAAGGAGACGAGTTTGTATTTACACTAAGTTAGTTATGGATAAACAGAGTTTAATGTAACCATAGGAAGTCAGGAGAGTAAATTATTTACATGTCGACTCAGCAGAGGTCAGGATAAAGGTAGGTAAATGTTAAATCACCTTTACCTACTTCAGTAAAATATTTTTTCCAGTCATATAGAAAATGTTTTTTTTTTCTTGATTAAGAGGGAAAAAAACTAACACACAAAACAATTTTTTACTCAGACTCCAGCTAAGATCAGATAAACACCTCAACATCTGAACCAGGATGATTATAAAACATGTTAAAAACAATTTAATCTCCAGTTTTATTCTAAATCAGAAGCTGAACAGTTGTGAAAAAAACTAAAAATATCAAAGAATAGAGAGAATTACATATAAGTATTGATGAAATTTTGTGTTTGAGATCAAAACTAACCAAATAAATGTGGATAAAATGAAATAAAACCAGCTGAACTGTTGACTTTTGAAGAAACATCAGGCTGATTGATTGACAGGACAGATGATCAGAGGAGCTGAGTTTTTACCTCCATCATTGTTACAGGGACTGAAGAACGGGTAGAGTGGTTCAGTGAAGCAGCAKCCAGTGAAGGAGTAGATCAGAGCTGCAGCATCAACATCATAAAAGGAGACCAGACCCTCCTGATAATCCACAAACACCCCCACCTTCTCAGGACCAGACTGAAGACTGAGATCAACACCTGGACCAGCAAGAGCTTTGTACTGATTTCCATTTCTCAACCAAACAGTCCAGAAACCATTTTGAGGACTCGCTGTGATGTCTCCCTTCCTGTTGATGGACTTTCTGACCACTCCTAGATCCCATTTAGTTTTTCCTTTAACCTGAACCTGAAAGTAAAATCTGCCTGAAGAGAAACTCTGAGACCCTAAAACATTAGCACACTTAGAAAATCTCTCTGGGTTGTCTGGAAGCTGCTTCTTCACATCACTGTGGTGAACTTGTTTTCCATCATCAGACAGGATGAGGTAAGGATTAGCAGTTTCAGGATCCAGAGTCAGATCCACCTCAAACTTCTGGACCCTCTTCAGCTCAGCCTCAAACATCTTCATCTTGTTCCTGAGCTCCTCCTCCAGCTGAGCCACAGCTCTCACCACAGTCCCCTCATATGATGGAGGATGGACTCTGACCTTGGTCCAGTTCTTGGTTGGTGGAGCAGCTTTCAGGGAGCTGAAGTTCTGGAGGAAATGGAGGTGGTCTTCAGAGCGTGAGAGCTGCTTGAGGTCAGAGCTCCTCTTCATCAGCTCAGAGATCTCCTGTTCCAGATCTTTGATGAAGTCTTCAGCCTGTTTCTCTGTAG